AGTTTTTCAAATAAAGCTGGTGTCCCATGATAAGAGCAGCTCACAATTCAGTTACACAGTGCTTTTCAAGGTAACCATTGTCCTTCAGCATGCAGCCAAAGTGTCCATCTTTGAGTACTTACATGTACTCAAGGACTAAGTCTTAAAAAAATAAGTTTTTCTGCTTCGTCAAGATTTTTCTTTCTTTTTTTTTTTTCCCGCTAAATTATGAGTGCCCAGTGGTGAAGAATACAATAACAACTGGTAATGCTTGGAGCCGCTGCCTTGCGCTATGGTACAAGCAGTTTTACCTATTAGAGATTTTACACCATTGCTGCAAAGGTCAACACAGAGAAGGAGGCTAATGATGTTTTCAATAGTACTCTGAGGGCGCCTGGGTGGCTCAGTCGGTTAAGCGACTGCCTTCGGCTCAGGTCGTGATCCTGGAGTCCCTGGATCGAGTCCCGCATCGGGCTCCCTGCTCGGCGGGGAGTCTGCTTCTCCCTCTGACCCTCCCCCTTCTCATGTGCTCTCTCTCAAATTAATAAATAAAATCTTAAAAAAAAAAAAAATGAAGGTAACATTTAAAAAAAAAAATAGTACTCTGAAATCCTCATTCTAGTATTTCTTCAGGGCAGAGCCCTGTCCTTTGATCTTTAGTGGGACAGTTAAAGGAATTCGAGAAGGATTCTTGATCTTGGCACCGTGTTTATTAAGTTTACTCTAAGTTTATTATGGCTCCTCTTTTCTGTCACCTCAGTGCATCAGGAGCAGAGATACCAGGCAGACTTTGACTCAGCAGGCAGGTCTTTAACTATTGTATCTTTTAGCCCAGAGGGGGCCTGCCTTGCTTGGATGTCTGAGCAGGAATTTGTCCTGGTTTATTCTTCCCTAAGTAGATGGTGGTAACCCCTGTGCTCAAAGGGATCTTCCTTTCACTCTTCTCCCTTTCTGTTTCCTCAGAGTCAGGACTGTCTCCAGTTGGGTCCTCCTGCTGAAGGTGAAGTGGTCCAAGTGAGATGGACAGATGGCCAAGTCTACGGAGCCAAATTTGTGGCCTCCCACCCCATCCAGATGTACCAGGTAGCCAGAGGTTTTTGTTGGGGGCTGGGGAGTACTTGATTATTCAGTGTTTCCTCTTTGGCTAGAGGCGAATCTTTGCTCTTGGGAGAGCTCACCAGTTAGTAATAACCCTTTCAGAACTTGGGGCTGCCCCGTGTCCCGTCTGCCAGAGGTGGGTTCAGATTTGGCAGTCCTTCCTTCAGTGTACTGGATCCTTCCTGTGATGGCAGGAAATTGCCACTGTGCACAGTGGACCAGGGAGTCAGGGTCTTAGCCAAAGGTCTTTGTTTACTTGGTAGGTGGAGTTTGAGGATGGCTCACAGCTTGTGGTTAAGAGAGATGACGTGTACACGCTGGATGAAGAGCTTCCCAAGAGAGTCAAGTCCAGACTGGTGAGTGTGTTTTCTGTGTGCCCTTGGTTCCCGCCTGGGAGGGAGGGAACAAGGCAAGGGTGTGTCCTTTTGTTCTTTCTTTGGGGTGGTTGGCCACAAAGTGCTCATTTGGCCTGCTTATTCTTCTATAGTCCGTAGCCTCAGACATGCGCTTCAATGAGATTTTCACAGAGAAGGAGGTTAAGCAGGAAAAGAAACGGCAACGAGTGATCAACTCAAGATACCGGGAAGATTACATCGAGCCTGCGCTATACCGAGCCATCATGGAGTAGGTGCTTCCCTGGGCCAACAGGTGCCCAGCCATCACGGCGAGAGCACTCTGGGGTTCCACAGCACAGCAGACACTTGGAACTCTGAAGTCTCTGAAAGTGAAGTTGTAAAATGAAAAGGAATGGAATAACCGACCCCATCGTCTTCTCACGCCCCCGCTCCCCGTCGCATTCCGCTGTAGTGGAAGGACAGCCTTTCTTGGACACGTGGCAGCAGCCGCCTGTCTCCCCGCTGAAGGGCTGAGCATTGCAATGCTGGGGCCGCACTGGCCCCGGTCTGCAGTGGGGTCGACTCTGCTGGCTGGGCTGGTTGCCTAGGACTTAGCTTCCTAACAATCACCTGCACCAACTAGGCAGAGGTGCTGGTGCTTACTCCCTCCCTCTTTTGTATTTATGTGTGTGCGTGCGCGTGTATGTGTGTGCGTGCGTGCGTGTGCGCGTGTGTGTATGTTTGGTCTGGACCAGCGTCTGCCAGCCCCTGGCCTTTACTTTCTTCCTTGCCTGTCCAGGGCAAACAAAATGTGAAATTCTGCCCTCAGCTGAGCTGAGTAAAGGCTCCTGGGGGTTGGCTGGAGATGGGTGTGGCATCTGTCTGTCCCTGGAATTGCCCTCAGGGGAGGCTGGCAAAGCTGCAGTACTGAGATGTGAAGGAATTAATGCACCTCCTTATCCTGTCTTGAAGGAGGAGATGGGGATAACATGGGTATGTGCCCATATCAGTCTAGGCATAGAGCCTCCATGGCACAGTATTAGAGGGTGTGGGTGGGGAATACCCTGAAGGGGGTTCTTAATGATGGAAGCAGGCAGAGCCTGGTGGGTGATTCTGTCAACAGAAAATTGCAATCATGCAGGGGCTGGGAGGGTTAAGATGAATTGGGGCCACTGGAGACCAGGGGCAGGCTTAGATATGTCCCTGGTCTGGGGGTGGGAGGGAGCTGATTTGGGGGTGGGGGTGGGACTGGAGGGCAACACTGAAGGGGTTAAACAGGTTTTTGCTCCTCATGAATTTGTTTGCCTGGGCCCAGGATTGGAGGGCTTCACACCTATACCCTGTGTATACAAGAATCAGATTTATAATACTTCCCTGTTTTTTGTTACGTATGAACGCTATAAACCAAATTATTTTGAAAACTGGTGCATCACCTTGTCCTTAGCAATAAAATGTGTTGAGCAGAGGATTGGTTGTGTCTGCCCCAAGGAGCCTGAGTGGCTCAGGGTCAGGCTGGGGGTGTATCTAGTCATAAGTTCTGGAGCAGGGCCAGGTATTTTAAGAAGACTCAGGCAGGATCCAGGAAGCTGTCCTAAAAGCAATGGGTTCCTTGTCAAGTCCTGGTCCTGTGGCTGTGTGTTAGACCAAGCAAGGTGACACATGGGAGGCAGAGGCACCTGGGGCTATGAGCACCTTGTTTTGCTTCCTTTGCCTTAGGGATGGGAAGGAGATGGAGGACCAGACCACTTTCACAGTCAAACGGGGTTTAGTCTCACTTCTGCTGCACTTGATTGTCTTCATGGAGCTGGTCTAAGTTCATATTATCTGTGTTCCATGCAAATTGTGGAACCAGCATAACGGTGGTTTAAGAGCAAGGGACTCGACCCCCGGTGGGATCCAGTGGGGTCTTGAAGCTACTCTGGGTTGCCTGTAGTTGGTGAGAAACTTCCCTGGAGGAAGATCCGGTCCCTTCGTCTGGTGGGTTCCTGGGGTATATATAGGTGGTTGAGGATGGAGCAGCAGCAGGGCAGGGAGGGGCCGGTGACTAGGTGCGGGACTGGGGCACAGCAGAGCTGTTTCAGCTGGCCCTTGGATGACCAGGCACTTGTTTCATGGCCCTGTACAGATGCCAGAGAGGCTTGGGTCAGTTCAGCAATTCTCAATGCTTCTTTGTATCCTGGGGTTTGGGAGGTGGTTGCTACCTGGTGTCTGATTGGGGGGAGGCGGGGGGAAGGGAGGCACAGCAGCTTTCAAAGGTACTTTCTATAACAACTCACTCCTGGGGCCAAGAAAGGGAAGTTGACTTTTTTGTCCAGTATCCAAGAATTCATTTGGGAGATGAGGTGGGACCAGGCCTTAATGGATTGTTGAGCCCTGGGAGCACATATCTTTGACGGGAGGGAACACTTCTCTAGACTGGCAGGGTCCCAGGCCCTGCTACCTCTCACGGACCCCACCATGTCCATCTGCATCCCTGGTGAAGGACCTGCAGGGCTGAGGTGCCTGGACTAACCCCAGCAGAGCTCTAACAGCTGACTTTTTCTAGAAATTCTGCACTTTGAATTTTGGCTAAAGTAGTAACTCTGGGGAAATCGAAGTTTAGAGGTGATGAGGCTTGCTCAAATCCGACAGAACAGGTCGTTGGTTTTCTTCCTCACTGCCTGCCAGTGCAGTCAGGCCCAGGCCCTAGAGGACGCACTCCAGGGAAGCCTTTCTGTCAGGGCAAACTGCCCTCCTTTCTTAAGGTAGCATCTCTGGGTTGGCAACCAAGGATCGCAGCCTGACTGTACCTTCTCCCTTCTGTCCATCCCATCGGTGGTATCACGTTTCAAATTGTGCCCCAGGTGGATGCCGGTGCTCAGTTGCGGGAATGAGGTAGGGTGGGAGAGAGCTGGGACCTCGGGAGCCGAAAAGGGCGAGTGCTCCTGTGCCGGGACTAAACATTTTCTGCCACACTGAAATGGGCAGGACAGCAGGGAACCCTGTCCCCTTATATGCCATAGGATCGGGCAGGGTCGCCCAGCCCGTAGAGGCCCCCAAACCTTGGGCCTCAGGGAGCCCACTGGCGGTGCTCAGCCGGGCTCCCGGCGGCAGCTGCGGCCCTTGTGGAATGACCGTGGCCACCCTGCATCCGCTCCCGCGAGGAAACAGGCTCCCGAGGGGCTGGGTCACGCCCGCGGGCATCAGATGTCCGTCTCCCGGGCGTGAGGCCGGGGGAGGATTGCTTCAGGCGGCGGATGTGCTCCGGGAAGCCGAGGCGAGGCGTCCGCGCTGACCTGCAGGCCGGGCGGGCTCGGCCCGACGCGGCTCCGCACCGCCCGCAGCCCAGGTCCCCGCGGAGGGTGGGGTGGGCGGGTCGGGGAACCGGGGGTGCCCGTGCCTATTGGGCCTCCGCGAGCTTGCGCTCGCCCGCTGCCCGCAGCGCAGCTCTGCATTGGTCAGCCCGGCGCCCCGCCCGGCTCCCGCGGCCCCATTGGCCGCGGATGCCCGACCCCCGGCGAGGGCGCTGAGGCGGAGAGCGGGATTGGTGGTCGCGCCGTCCTCGGGTCGCGGCCGCGCGCTCCGCCCGCCGCTGCGTCCCCACTATGGCGGCGCCCATGCAGCCCACCGCGTCGTGGGCGCCCGCCGGGCTCCCCCGCGGCTGTCGCGGCCGCCTGCACCCTGGCCTCCGCCTTCCCGCCCGCGTCGGGCCGGGTGCCGCCTCCCCGCTGCCTCCCTCTCCGCTGCGGTAAGGGCCCGCCGTGCGCGCGTCGGGGCGCGGCAGCCACCGCGGCTAACGGTGGCCGCGCCGCCCCTCCCCTCCCCCGCCGCCCCGGCTCCCGGCGGGGCGCGGAGCCTGGCCGCTCGCGCTGGGGAAGGGAGGGTGGGGGCATGGCCTAGCTGCCCCCGCCCCCCCTCCCCCGAGCAATGAGGTCCGGCTCGGACTGGGGGCTCGGGCCCGGAACGCGGCCGCCGGGCGACCTCACCCGGGAAAGGGGGAGGGGTGGGCAGCCAGGCCTCGGGGGAGGACGGCTGGACCCGGGCCGCGCGGTGTGAGGTCACCTGCGTGCGAGACCCCGCAGCGCTGCGCACCTTGGCGCAGAGGAGGGACCGGCGAGCGGGCCTCCGCTGTGGGAAGAGGAAGGAAAAGTCCAGGGAAAGCTTGAGCGGGAATCTGCAGCGCACTGGGTAGCGGTTGTCATTGCTTACTGCTCTACTCGCATCTAGACGTTCAGGGGACCGGGTCAGTTTGATGGGCGAAGGACGCCTCTCTGGCTTCCTTTCCTTCTGGCACTTCTACCCATTGTTAATTCGGGGATTTTGCTTGCAAGACGAAATATCTTCGTGATGAGAGCAGGTTTGGGGGAGGATGGTGTCCCACGAATGTTTTGGATTTCTTTTTTACCACTGCTCATTTTAATGATTCCTCAGTAAACTTCATTTCTGTTTGCGCTTCCCTCACAAACGAGGAAGGAGTGGAACGTGTGAACTAAATCATAGTAGGTAGTTGAGAGAGAGAGACCAGTGAAATCAGCTGTTATTTTCTAAAAACTGGGAACTTTTTTGTGGATATAGTTTGAGTTGTCTATACTATATCTAGTTGAACTTGAAGGTAGAACGAAAGCACTTATTAGGTTCCTGAAAGTAAGATAGTCCTCATGGAAAATTAGGTTATTTCTCAGTTCAAATCGCCTTAGAGTGATGATCGTTGAACTGTTTGGTGTACCTAAAAGTCAAAAGGACCCAATGGTGTTTTCAAATCACCTCTTAAGGCAATAGCAGCTCCTAAGATGAAAGATTCTTCACTCAAAGACATCTTGAAGTATTAAGTGATGAACCTCACCATTTTGCATGTCTAAATGTGTAGTCGTGGTTTAATAAAAGTAAGTTATTAAAGAGGGAATAAGATGTGCATGTTCTTAGAGTAATTGACTTTGGATCATCAATAAAGTGTCTAATGAGTACATATTATGTACAAAGGCAGTAAGAATGTGGGGAAACTGAAGACCTGTCATGTGAGAGACTTGTTCTTATCAGCCTAGGAGATAGTTGTGGGAATACAGGGCACACAGGACACTGATAACTGATGATACTGTCTCTAGAATTCCTAGACAATAGGTAGGAGAGTCTGGGAAAAGGAGAAACCCATGTGTTTGAGGAAGGTTTCACAGGGAAGCTGAGGCTTGCTTTGAGCCATGACTGGGTAGGCCTGGGGGATGAAGAAGAACAAGGGAGGAAATGAGAAAGTGAGGATGGTCAGGGTGGGCAGGGGAGAACCTGAAATGCTCGTGGGTGAATCCAGGGGGTTCTTGTTGGAGAAACTGGGAGGTAAGTTTGTATAAAGAAGGTAGGTAGGTCACATCAAATGGAGAAGTAACTGGGGCGCCTGGGTGGCTCAGTCGTTAAGCGTCTGCCTTCGGCTCAGGTCATGATCCCAGGGTCCTGGGATTGAGCCCCACGTCGGGCTCCCTGCTCCGCGGGAAGCCTGCTTCTCCCTCTCCCACTCCCCTTCCTGGTGTTTCCTCTCTCGCTGTGTCTCTCTCTGTCAAATAAATAAATAAAATCTTAAAAAAAAAAAAATGGAGAAGTAACGTCTTAGGCAGAGTAAAGGATGAACAGGTAGTAGCATTTACTTCAGCTAGCCATTAGAAAAATATACAGTAGCACTTTGTTGGTTCTTGTTACTTTTCTGATTAATCTCAGCTGCGTGGACTGACAGTCCTTGTGGCTACTCAGGATCTGCACCTTGAGATGCCCTCTTGCCTTCCTTCTCTCCCTTGTGTTCACTTGGTTGCCAGGTCTTGCTGATAGACCTCCGCACTATTTTTGACATCTGCTGCTTTCCATTTCTACTGTCATCAGGCTTATTTGGGGTCATTGATACCATGCCCTTGAATTATTGCGGAACCCCCCCCCAATATTTTTTTTTCTTATCTCACTTCCCCAGTCAAGACTTTTAACAGGTCCCCGTTGTCTGTTGAATTTAGCACGGATCAGCCTGGCAGAGACACTGTGGGTAAACTCATTTCTTGCCATTCCCTTAGATTTTACTATTTTCCAGGTCAGAAGAACTATTTGCTCTTTGTGCTTTGCTGTTTGTGCTCCATATCTTTGCTTATGTTGCTTTTTCTATCTTAAATGACCCCCTTGAATCTCTAATTGTTGGTTCTTACCCATGTTCAGGGCCATGTGATATGGAACTTTCTTTGTGAAACTTTCCTTTCCATCTAGATGGGACTTGTCTCTCCTTTAAACCATTATAACACTAGAGTCTGCCTTTTTCGCGCAATTGTCAACCTAAGACTGAAACTTTTTCAAGACATAGACTGTCTTCATCATCTAGCACAGTGTTTTGTATACAGTAGGTACTTGACAGGTGTGTTTTATATTGAACATAGCTTTGAACCAAGATGGATGCAAAGAAAATTCTTTGTACAAACAAAATGTTCATCTTAAAATCTGTAAAGAAAGTTATTTGTGTGAGAGAATTCCTTACTAAGAGATCTGATGAGGGTCACCTGGCTGGCTCATCAGTGGAGCACGTGACTCTTGATCTCTGGGTTGTGAGTTCGAGCCCCACGTTGGATGTAGAGATTACTTAAAAATAAAATCTTTAAAAAAAAAGAGATTTGATGATCTGATGTATTCATCTGGGTAACTTGGATTAGGCTGCATTAACAAAAATCCATTAAGACTTAAGTGGCTTAACAGAACAAAAGTTGAGTTCTCATTAGCATGAGTGCACAGGGAACTGTGCTCCTCACAGTCAGTCAGTCAGGGACCCAGGCTGATGGAAACTCCATCTGAACATAGTGTTTCGATGGTCATTTTGATTGAGTGAAAGAAGGTGGTTAGGGGGCACGGTCCCCAGATGGCACGTGTCACTTTCGTTTCACATTTCATCAGCTAAGGCAAGTCACATGGCCATACCTAACTTTATTTATTTATTTATTTTAAAAAGATTTTTATTTATTTATTGAGGGAGAGAGAGCATGAGAGGGAGGAGGGTCAGAGGGAGAGGCAGACTCCCTGCTGAGCAGGGAGCCCGATGGGGGACTCGATCCTGGGACTCCAGGATCATGACCTGAGCCGAAGGCAGTCGCTTAATCAACTGAGCCACCCAGGCACCCCATACCTAACTTTAAAGAAGAGGAGGGAGGGGCACCTGGGTGGCTCAGTTGGTTAAGTGTCCGACTCTTGATTTCAGCTCAGGTCATGCATGCTCTCAGGATCGTGGGATTGAGCCCTGCATCGGGCTCTGTGCTCAACGTAGAGTCTCCTTGTCCCTCCCCCTCTGCTCCTCCTCTATGCATGCTCTCTCTCTCTCAAATAATAAATAAATAAAATCTTAAAAAAAAAAAAAAAGAGCAGGGAATTGCAACCTTAGCATGTGCCTGGAAAGCAAAGAGCCAGATCTAATTGGTGGGCAACATGAGGGACTACTACATCTTTTATGAGTACCACAGTCCATAGAAGATTGGAGGTAGCAAAATCAGATGGCCTGCTAGAGACGAGCATATTGGCAGTAGCAAGAAATAGGATCTCTAACTAGGCATGGGAGGAGGGTGGGTTGGGAAGTTAGGACTCCATAACAGGCACTGTACATGCCTATAGGCCGGGGCTGCTGGTACAAGGGCAGGCTGGTGTACCCTAGTCCCAGCAGAGACGTGCCAAGGGCATCACTGTTTTACAGTGCCCTCAGTAGTGAACACAGGAAAGGTCCTGAGGCATCCCCCAAAAAGTTAAATTATATTCAAGTTATTTAGCCAGGAAGAGTGAAATAACTGGAGGTACATTTTCACTTGTATAATTAAACTAAGAAGGAATCTTAGTTTAATGTTGGTTTTATTGGGTTTCCTTGAGGCCATCAAACTTTGGTATTTGGGGAGGAGATTTCACTTTTTTTTTTTTTAAGATTTTATTTATTTGAGAGAGAGAGAAGGGGGAGGGGCAGACAATCTCAAGCAGACTCCACACTGAGTGCAGAACCCGAATTGGGGCTGGATCTCCTGACCATGACCCGAGCTGAAACCAAGAGTTGGATGCTCAATCGACTGAGCCACCCAGGCACCCTGAGATTTCACTGTCGAAAAAGAATAGAAACATGGAGTGCTGTTTGGAGCCATGGTTCAGGAGACAAGATCTGGGTTGAAATCTTGTCTCTGCCACTGATTGTCTGACATTGAGCAAGTGTCTTCTTGAGCCTGAGGTTATCAGTAAAGTGCATAGGGTGTTTTCAATGCATAGGGCTAATCAGAAGAGTTGGTTTATGTAAAACGCTCTGCATAGCACCTGGTTCAGAGTAAGCACTCGTGTTCATGAACATCACCAGGAGCAGCAGCATCAGGGTTTAAAAAAAAACTTTGAGAAAGCCCAGGAATGTAAGTAGAAGGGTTCCCTAGATTTTCTTACCTTTTTTTCCTTTCCTTGGATAGCATTCTTACCACACCTTTCTTATTTTCACATTTGTCGTATTTTATTTTACTTAGTTGTGGGTATGTCTGTATCTCCCATCACACGAGGCACTCCAGTCATCCCCCAAATATTTACTGAGCAGGTGCTGTGTGCAAGGCCCTGTGCTAGGATCATGGCATTGTAAATAAGAAAGGGATGTCCCTGGCCTAAAAGAGCCTATAGTCTGGTAGGACCGGAAGCCAGTAAGCCAGCAGTTAAAATACATTGTCACAAGGGCTGTGTTTTGAGGGTCCTGTGAGATCTCCAAAATGAGACCTGGTATCACACTGGGAT